AAACAAGGAGAATGACCCTGTTATACTTTGCGTTATTCGCAAAGATATTGAAACTTGCGAGATATTGAAACTTGATATAACATGTCATTTCAATTTTTTATTAGTAATAAGATATATCACAACAACAACATTTCATTTGCAATTCTTTTCAATCAATTTATGTTGCCAAATTCTAGTTTTTAATATTGAATCTATGAAGAAGAATACCAAGGATTCGCTTAGTATTTTTTCATCATTGTATCATCCATTTAGATTTAATAACTTTATGAAGATTTGAAGAATTCTAAATTATCTCTGATATTATCATAAATTATGAGTTAGTAGACGAGATAAGATATGGAGAAATTCCAAAAGGAAAAGAATAGATGTAAGCAGTAAATTGACAAGACATTAGAAAATTCTAATTTTACAGAAATTCTTATTCTTCTAATTGAATAGTATTTCACATACCACGTCAATTTTATAAAGATGGTGCACAGATTAGTCGACAAATTCTGTTAATTTTTTGCATTCAATTCCTTTTCAACCTTAATGGTCCCAAAACAAAAGATATTTGCAAATCAAAGATATTAAATTTAATATAATTATAATTATAATTATAATTATAATTATAATGTAAATATAAATATAAGTATAATAATATAAATATAAATATAAATATAATAAACTTATATTTTTAATTATCTCTCAACCAAGGAAAAAATTAATACTTCACATTAGAGCAAAACAGTAATGAACTACTAACGATGAAATTATAAAACTTGTAACAGAGAAATTGAAATGCAAGACAATTTATATACTTTATTAAAAATTATTTAAATCTCTAAGAATATACTATTATAAATATATAAAATTTCTATGGAAAATTATAAATTGGTCATTTTGGTAATTCTGTTACCAAAGTGTTAAATAGAAAAATTTACAGATTTAATAAAACAGGAGAAGTAACAAATGATCCCAAAACAATCTAGTGTATATTGTCATAGCCTTCATAATTTCTAAATAATTAACCAAAGAAAAAAATTAAATAATAATAAAAATGCAACTGAGCGAACAAGTATCGAACAAAATGAACGTGAACAGAGTCAATAAAACGGGAAAAGTAATAGAGAATTGAACGACACATGAAGGAACATTTAATTAATCGACGGTTTAACTCTATACTTTCCAGGGAACGTGAACTCTGCCCTCAATTACAACTTACATTAAACTAACAGTCACAGTCATCGGAGGAAATATAGCTTTTACGTATCATCTCTTACAGGAGGCCTCAACTATTATGCTGACAGAGCTAATTAACGAGTTCAGGCTTGATGAACTCTTGTTGATAAATTCCGCTCTCATGCATAGATGAAAATTTTTTGATATTTCGTAGACGAGAGGCAACGTCTCAATAGAAAACTCCAGCGAGTTTTCATGACCAACCAGAGTGATTTTTGATAACTAGCGTAAAAAGAAGCTCGATACAAATATGCATATCAAGAATTACGGAGGATATCGATATCGCGAACACAGCAGCGGATGTCTTGCTTTCTTCGCTCATGTTTTATTCAAGCACATGATTGATAACGCTGGAACGACCGACAACACTATAATAAAATATCTTTGTAATATGCATAATTGAGAATAAGCGAAGAAAAAAAGAGATCGTCATTAAAGTTTTATTTAAAACTTTCATCTAACTCAAAAATTTGATTTCACTTTGATTCAAAATTTTTTCCTATTTCATAATTTAAATTATTAAATATACGTTCTCAAAAGAAGTAGTGAGTATTTAGTATTCGAAAAAACCTAGCCAAAGCTTCTGATAAATATTGCTTTTGTTAAAGACAAACTTCTATGGTATTCCAGAGTATTTCTACAGTGTTATTCGTAACGATTCTATGGCATAATTAAAAATCATTTTCTTTAAAATCATTCCTACTGATTCTCTATTCTGAATGTTGAAATTGAACGTCTTCTTTTAGTTTCAATTCTTTATGTAGACATGGAAAATAATATAATACATCAGCTATGGTCAGCTATCTTTTGAAAATATCTTCCTGTGACTCATTGTACTGTGACAAAATTAGGGTTTTATTGGACAATAAAGAGATTTCTTGAACTGGACAGTTCTAATAGCTAAGAGAATGTGAGAATTCAGGCAATAAAAAGAGAAAATAGCGCGAGGACATCAGAAGGAAAAGCGATAAAAAGATTAGCGCAAAGACAGTAAAAAAAGTCAACAAGTATCAGAAGTATAAAAAATAGCGTGTTAAAAAAAAAATTAAAAAATGCAGTGGTATTAAAAGAAATGTTTCATCAATGAAACAAAGAACATAAAACCATTATAAGGAGAAATAAAATAAAAGAAAGAATAAAATAAAAATCATCAAAAATTCAAGTGAAAATCAAAGAATCTGAAATGAATATGATTTTAAACTTCAACGATTTGATTTGAAATTTCCTAGTGCACAATTTATAGATGAGAATTCACAATAAAATATTTTTTTATTAATTATGAAGAATCATAATTTGCATTAGAACATTTAATAAGAACAATCAACAAGAATATTTAAATTTTGAATAGTTATATTACTAGAAATATATTATTTTCAATCCTTAATTTTCTGGATTATAACCAATACTCGATAGAAAGAAAAATATGTTAACTATTGAAACAGACGAAAGCAAATGTAAGAGATAATTGATAAGAACACTTGAAACAAAATTACATTTGACAAGAATAATGAATAAATGTAAAATATACTTTAAAATAGATTACTATCACTGATATGATATTTAATGGATTACTAGTATTATTAACTCATATTAGTTTAAACAATATTTTATATATTTTTATTAACACTCTTATACAAGCTCTTATTTATTGTAAGTTTTCTTTTGTTCGCCACTCAATGTAGATCCCATCCAAATGTACGATTCATTAAATAAAATTCTCAGATATTAGGAAACGTAAAACAACGCAATTCGTGTTATAAAAACTAAAATAATCAACGATCAGACAAAAGGTAAATTGACTTGTCATACGTCAACGATACGTGTAATTACAATACTGCTTCATTAACATCATAGAACAAGGATTGATTTATCACCTGTTGTCAATCCTCATATTCACAATATTGTTCAAGGTCTATCTTTCGAAACGATAAGACATTATCGATAGAGATAAGTGAGTCATTAAATTGATTTATTTCAGCTGTTTTAAGAATAGATTAAGCAGCATTATCGATTGTGTTTCCTTCTTTTTCATTTACGTGCACGCGAATTAGATTCGGTGCTTACTAAACTGATAAATTTTTATGCAATTCAAAATTTTCAAAGATGAGTAAAGTTAAAAAAAGTAAATGTTAAAGATCTTTTAAAATTTTAAAAAATTCAAAATTAAAATAATTTAAATAAAGTTTTCAAAGTGAAGGAAATGTCTGTCTTGAATAGAAATTTATTTCCGCTCCGAAATATTATATTTAGACTACGAATTTCTGTATATTTACTAGAAATTTAGAAAATTAATAAATTTTATAAAATATGCAAGAATATATAAAATGTATAAAGTGAAGTTCCATTTCTTTCCTTACTCTACCTTTGATATTTTATATATTTTTGCATATCATATTTTTAAATTTCTCATAAATGCATAAATGTTCGCATCGTTATAGTCAAAGAATATTGCTCCAAATGTGTCTTTAACAGTGTTCATAACGGCAATAGTTTTGGAAACCTTTCTAACAAAACGCAATGAATCATGCGGGAAATTCTTTATCACATGACCTGTTTCCGGTTAGAATCGTTCACGCGTTATGGCATGAAATGTCAAATGATGTGTGAGAATTCCCTGATGCGTCCTTCATAATTATAATGCTGATTCAAATGTTTTTTTTATTACACAAAACATCTTATTCGCATAAATAAATATTGCATTTCCGTTGGGAAAGAAGGCCATAGAATATTTTTTATAACTTACAATTTTAATATCATAACTCTCATAACTTATAATTCTAACATCAGCCTTGTACTTTGCACATTATGCATATATAATGTAAACTATCTAATCGCGGTATAGTGCTTTTGAATAAAAATACGATGCAAATTATTGGATGATTCGGTTACTTTTAAAATGATTTCTAAGATCTAAATTCTAGCAATCCAATACTTCATTAATTCTAATACCCTTGTAGTGAATTCTAAAAATAATAAACAATATTATTAATAATGAATTTTTATATTTTTTTATATTTATTCGACGAGTTCTTGCTACTAAAACAACGCAACAACGATAGTAATTATAATCTTTATCAATGCAACCGCCAACTAACATGCATTGCAATGAATACGCAACAATCTGCTCTTTCGCGCGCTCTTTATCAAAGAAGGTAAACACCGAGAATGCGTATAACGAAGCATACATATTTCAAAGTGCAACTTAAAATAGATGTGCATCATGCTCGCGAAAGGTTTAAGTTAGGCAATATTTTCTCGATTAACATCTGTTGTTTATTTTCTTCGATCTCAACAGACAAAATACTTAGTCGGCCAGATTTGACTAACTCTAAGATAAATTGCATTGACACGTAATCGTGAATTCTGACGTTCTTCTAACGTGGATTCTCGATAGAAACGATTATATGATTTAAAAATAAAATTAATTATTCTTTTATTATTATTTTCGTCGGGATGGCAGATGGCAGATGTATTTCTGTTCTGTCCAAAGGAAGTCTATTTTTTCATTAGATATCTCTAAGAACTTTATAACACATGGTATGAAAATCAATATATGTAGACATGGCATAATATACCATGTAAATAATATATTCGATAAAAATATCCTTGAGATATGTATTTTTAAAATAATTACTACCCTTGAAATATCGCAGTTATATTATAAATATTAATATTATAATTAATAAATATTAATATTATAAATATTAATATGTTTTAATTGGAGCATCTTAATGTAATGTCTTCCCTTTTTAAACCAACTCTGTTTATCTTGATATCAATTGAATATAGTCTTACCTGATTTAAGTTGCTCCCCTTTCTTTCAGAATCTTGTCCTCAATGTTTTGATAAACGTTCGCCATATCGCAGCAGCTACTAATTTTTCTGCAAAAAATGAAAAATGGATTATTGCATTCGTTACGTGTCTATCATGTGTGGAAGTGTTGATCAATAAAGTCAACCAACACTGGGAGCTAGATTACGCAATCAACATCTGGATTGGAAAATGTGGTTGAAATACGTTTAAAGAATTACGTGACGGTGGCAGTATTACGTAAATCTTTTGAGAACCGAAGAAATTTATAATTTTAAATCCTTCTTCTCGAATCCTTCTTCGCGAAGAGATCACGCCTTTTTTCAATAAAATACAAGATATTAAATTTTTTCAAGACACGTGTTTATTTTCGAATTTAAGGTAGGTAAGTGTGAAATCAAATCACTGAAAAGTGTAGAATGTCGATATTGCTATTATCATATTGTTAGCCTTGACCTATACGTTTACAGAGCATACGAAAGCGCGTCAATCGTCGCGTGTAGACGACTTAGTATGCATAGACGACTATTTTTAATTCAAAAATAAAATAGAGAAATACAGGGAAAGTAAGTGATTCACGATGACTGACACGACGCATAGACAAATGTCTAGTAATGTTTGATTACAGATTATAGAATACGAGATGAAAGGAGATATGCAAGATCACGGCGTTACGATGTGTATTTTCAGAGATGCAAGATGACTACCGAAATAATTTCCCATGCAATAATTTCCCAAAAGCAGAATCGATGAAAGTTCGAGACGATTTCGTTGGCTTTCTATATACAGTTGGTTGGGTATGACGCGCTAATGCGATTTTATTGTCTTTGTTTGCGGGTACGAACTGTTCACGTGACATACCTCTCGCGTCGAGCACGTGACTGGCACGTGGTGCGAGCATGTGTGCACCGTTTCACGCTGAGCTGCACGTATCGCTGCTTGGAAGCGAACTTGTACGACCAATAAGCCTATGTATCACGCGGAACGCTTGACCCACTGGTTGGTGTTAACGTGCACGTTGGCATGTGAAAAACAAGAAACGCGTGCACTCGTCAGTTTCATGCATTTTCTGCGAATTTCCCTTGCAGCTACCTTGATTCCTGTAAACATGACACCCACACATACATATATATATAAATATACACCAGATGTTCGTATTCTAATCAAAGAGATTAGCATTTTATGTGTTTATACATGCGTATGCTGATAATGATAATTATGAAAAAGTAATAAAATAATTAATTTAGTATATTTTTATCTATAATGGCTTATCCCCTTGAATTGACGTCATTGGTAAAATAAATTCTATCAGAGAAAGTGTAATTTTCGTTCGTAATTTTTTTGTAGATGATCATTATGCTTAATTGTAAAATATAAAATTTCGTTCAATTCAATGTGATTTCGTGATATATTTAATAACAAAATTTCTAACGAAACATTTATTGTGATAAATTTCTACTCCATAAAAGATTGAGCCTTACGCTCTCTTCTCAAACTTTCTAATGCGATACATAAGTAGCACTATCTCAAGTTTACGCGGGAGTAGCAATGACCGAGTAAATACAGAAATAGCGATTATTATAATACGCTATCATATAATACGTTATCTTGTCCTCGGTATGTCCAACCTCTTTTTCCCTTAACCTCTTTTAAACGATTTCTATATCACAAAATCCTTCTCGTTTATTGAATTAATGACTTCTGTGCAACTGAAAGCAAAATCAAGTGCAAAGAAAATACAATCGGATAAAGAGAAATCAAGGTTGTTCCAATTTTTCTTATCGTGTTGATCACACGATTAATTACAACCATCTTATAACGTTAATTACAGTTAAATATCTTTAGTTGTTGTGCACGTGATTCGATTAAGTATGCCCTTATCACCAAAATAGATACTCTTCAATAAATTCAGCCTTAAAATTTATCTAAGTTTTGATCCATGATAAAAAGGATTTTAACGTTGACGTGCAATTTTACTGCAGTTGATGTTTCTACAGACAAGACTCAGCTGCAAACATATGCGATCACATTAATAAGCATAGAATGCTAATTTCTGAGAGAAACGACTAGTGATATTGAAAAGATACTAGTCACGGAATAAATTAACTCTTACAATAGGTGATGGGTTAGAATGTCAGTCACTTCGTTACCGTTTCTTGACTAGTAGTTTCAGTCGTAAGAAACATTATATTTCTCTCTTCTCGATATTCCTAAAAGAATACCACATGTCAAGCAATAAATGAATTAAGAATTTACAGTGGTAAGCAAAAATATTAATATTAATAGTAACAGATTAGCTATTCTTGTAAAGTACATTATACATAAATTTCTAATCGAAGTCAAGTCTGACTGCCATTTGCAATATCAAAAATCAATAATTCAAGTGTAAGAAATATACCAGAGAGTAAAAGATTTTTTCACGATCGCCTTGAGAATATGTCGACTGGCATTTCTGATGTACAACCGCAACAAGTTCTGCGAATAATATTGGCGCGTGGCCAAAAGTAATAAAACGATCGAGCATTTAGCCAGCTGGACAATATCTTCTCGAAGTTTGCCACAGAAGAGCGACGCGGGATGTCTGAGTCCCTTCAGAGCTCAACTATTGTAGAGAAGCCATCTATTCTGGACCGCAGCATCGCCACCTTGTTTCCGGTAATAGAGACATTGATACGTTGTTCCCTGTTGAAAAAGATGGTTGCATCAGATCAATCGCGTGTATCTTACAATTGATTCGTCCACGATAAACTAGATAGATACCATGGATCTAAGAATACAGAAACGTGACGCAAGCTTAATTTACAAATGGCGAAAATGAAACTCAATTTAAGTGGAAGGGATATACTTAAATTCGATTGGTTGCATTTATGCGCATGCTCCATATTATTAATATTAATTATTTAATAATTATAACTATAATAATTTTTATTTAAAAAAAACTATTGTCTTTTTAAATTTTATCAGCTGTTTTAGTTCTAATTAAAAGAAAGATAATAATGTGAAGTACGTTAAGTTAAAAAACAACCAAGGTTTTTGTATTAAAATAATTTTTCATTACAAATAATAACTATACGACGCCATTTCTCTTTTTGAATTTTCATAGTTTATTTTATGAAATGATGCCCGATTTGATAGATATTAACTACTGATATTTTATGACTGATGATAAATACGATTGCATGTGTGTTGAGAACTATCTAATAAAAATTAGGCACAAAAGAATTTAATTCATGATTGTATATGTCGTATATGTTAATTAAAGGTTATAATTAGAGCTAATTAAAGTTACAAACGACACAATTGATAGTAGTTTCATTTATGATTTAGCATAAATCAAACGTGTACGTGATATATTGCGTACGACTGGAACGTTTTCTTGAATTTCTTTTCCATTCGAAAAAGAAAACTTTCTCGATAAAAAATGTCTAACTGATCTATCAAACGATTACTTCTATAAATGGGAATAAAGGGGAATAGTTACCATGAATTGAAGGAAAATTCTATTCTTACTCATGCAGATCCCAATTATGTTAACGTGTTTACGAGCTCCTCCATATAAATATCGTCAATTTGTGTACTAATTTTAAAAAAAATCACACGCAATATAAACTTTAGCTCGGCTGCCATCTAGTGGGAAACCGTGAAACCTACTTTACCGTCATATATATTCATCAATAACAAAAACATCGACTTTATCCGCTTAATTACAAGATACAAATATATATCTCTAAATAAATAAATAAATAAAATCGAAGTACATTTCTTTTGATTTTATCAATCGTTCCACTTTAATTCTGAAATAAATCGTAATGATAAATTGGTAATTGGCAAGAAAGATGTCACGTGTCAATTAACCACGTGTGCCAAAGGGTTGCACACGGATTGAAGGGTGAAATACACGTGACTAATTACCGGGGCTTCGAGCAACCGGTGCTAATAATTGGATCACGGTAGAAACTACATTTTAAGGTCAGCAGATTACCAGAACAATGTCATTCGTTCGTCGAAGCCCCGAGAGAAACGATGGATTTCACCCATAAGCGAGTCTATCAAATTCTATCAGCGATTTTGGTACCGTTGACGAGGGAAACAACTGACGAAAACGAAGAGGATGAGACGTAATACAATACTGTCTATACACACGTAGCAAAGTTAATTAACAGGAATCGTGACCGTGAAAAAAAGTTCATGCTCTTACAATTGGTCATTTATGCCTCGTCGAGTTAGCTAGTATCGAACTACGAACGTTATCATGAAATCGGTTGCTTTTAAGAAATCGCGGTCGGAAAATGATTTTTCTTCGGTGAAGCTACACGAACTTGATGATCTGTTGCATGGAAAACGAATGAAATTGTCGAAGACGTCGTTTCGAGTAAGTCAAGTGAGCTCTATAAAATAATTATTTCATACAGATATTCGATATTAATTAGGGAAATTACTCTGTATTAATACTGCCGATACTTCTAGAATGCGTAGATTTCATGAGAAATATTTTTATATTAATGCCTTTCAAAAAAATTTGAAAGTATCTCTGATAAATATTTTCAATACGATAGATAAGTGTCCTGAGTTTAAGCATCAAGTATGAAATTTCTTTATTTCAAAGTTCAAGTTCTATTGCTTTCGTGAATTATTCGCCTCTTATCTATCATCTCGATTCTAAAGAGAATAAAAACTTCATCTGATGTAATTCTCACTGTTAGTTAGATGATGTTGAAGACTTTCTGAAAAATAAGGAGAATGAATCGGACGAGGAGAAGGTGAATTATTTTCCGAATTGTGACGCGTCCGTGTGGATGAGATCCTGCAAGGAGGAAGTAATTGAACCCATAATTGGCGAAGTGACAGGGAGGATACCAAGTTGGCTCAGAGGAACGTTGCTGAGGAACGGGCCGGGTAGCTTGCAAGTGGGGAAATATAGTTTTAATCACCTGTTTGATAGTTCAGCTTTATTACATCGGTATGTCTATGGTAGAAGAAATATTAATAATTTCTTTTAAATTTTTATTTTATTATATCAATAATTTTCTTAATAAGTTAAAAATGCTTATAGATACTTGTCTTAAGTATCTCTTCGTTCAAATCTAAATTTTAAATCTTTATTTCGAACTAAATTTATTTTAAACTGTCCTTACCCTTATTTTGAGTATATCTATTTTAAATTGGTTTTAAGTATTTCATATCCGATTTTTCAACTTCAATACCTTGAATACTCAGACCTTGAAAAAGCTGACTATTATCGATCATAGTTTGACGTCGGAAGCCCCACGTTGTATCCATACAAATATACGAAAACTGGAAATTTTTTCAGTATTAAATAATTGTCTCTATTTTGTTGAAAAATAATAGATTCGCGATTGATAATGGGAAAGTGACCTATCAATGCAGATTCGTTCAAACGGACGTATACAAAAAAAACAATGCGGCTCAAAGGATAGTGGTCACTGAATTTGGCACAAAAGCAGTACCAGATCCTTGCAAAAGTATTTTTCAAAGGTGACTAAAATAAATTATACTACTAAATTACATAATTTTTGTACGTAATTTAACATTATATTTAAGTATATATTTACTAATTACTTTAGTTATTTTTAATCAATTATTTTAATATAGAAATTAATAAACTTCTTTTTAGAGTTGCAGCAGTATTCAAACCTAAAGATGATTCGGACAATTCTATGATATCTGTATACCCTTTTGGCGATGAATATTACACATTCGCGGAAACGGCGGTGATTCATCGTATCGATTCAAAAACTTTGGAAACTACAGGCAAGGTATTCATTTATTCATTCACATTATTTGATAGTTCACTTCATTAGTTGTATGACAATCACATTTCGCGATTGATAATGATTAAATCTAATGATCATCTATAACAAATTAAATGATACATATTATAATCTTATTTTAATTTTGTAGGTGAACGTGTCAGATTACGTTGGTATCGTAAACCACACGTCTCACCCTCATATAATGAACGATGGCACCATTTATAATTTAGGACTGAGCGTAACACCAAGAGGACCTCTGTATAACATCGTGTGCTTTTCGCCTAATCAATTGATTATTGGTTAGAATGATTCTAAGCTTGTGACCGATCGTTCCAATATTTCAAGTATTGCATAATTTTTTGCATAATTCATTTCATCAGATGATTCAGGAGAAGAAAAAGAATTGTCTATGTTCGACCAAGCCACCATCATCGCCAGTATTCCGTCTCGATGGTTGTTGAATCCTTCTTACATGCACACATTTGGTATCACTGAAAACTATTTCATCATCGTGGAACAACCATTATCAGTGTCCCTAACTACCGTCGTATCCTGTAAGATGAAACAACAACCAATGTGTGCAGCTTTAAAATGGTACGAGAACGAAAACGTAAGTGAAACTACGTTTCAAGAAAATTTCTTCAATTCATTTAGAATCTTTTCCAATCAATTTTGATCATCAGATTCTACTTTTTTAATATTGCATCTATGAAAGAAAGTTTCAAGAATTCGCTTAAAACTTTTCTATCATATGTCTGCCAGCTAGATTCCAAATTTTCCGAAACTGAATTATTTATAAATGACTTATAAGTAATTTCAGTAAATTTACTGTTTAGTAAAATTTTATTTTATTTTATTTAGTAACTTCAGTTTATTTATAATTAATAATTTTACTGAATTTATAAATAATTATTTACTCCTTAATGGATTAATCTTTAACAAACGTGTTAAGAAACATGGCTTTATCAATATAGACTCTTATTCACGTGATTTCAAGAGAGACAGGACTACTGGAGAGAACGTTTATTTCGGAGGCATTCTTTTATCTTCATATCATCAATCAATTCGAAACACGTGATCGCGATTACGTGGTACTGGACATTTGCTGCTATCGCGATGCCAAAATGTTAGATTGCCTATTTGTCGACGCGATGAAGGTGATATATAATTTTAATAAAATTAATTAAAAGATGAAAGTGGAATCAACACGAGTATTTCTGAATGATCGCAGAACTTACACAAGAATCCTGACTATGCCAAAATGTTTCGAGGCAGACCTTTACGGTTCGTACTACCAATGAAACGTCCACAATCAGACGTACCATTGGAATATAATTTAATTACCACAAAAACGGTTAACCAAGGCCTGGAATCTTTTCAAGATGTCAAACGTCATAGTAAATCTGGTTCAGAATTTGTTGAAACGTCGATGAATGACGGCAAGGCTGACAAAGGCAAGAAGAACGATTACAAAAATATTCTTCAGCGAAAAGCAACCGCTCATAAACTCGCTAACGGTGATATTTTTGTGAAACCCGAACTTCTTTGCGATTTGGGCTGTGAAACACCACGTCTTAATTACGAGTTCTGCCTTGGAAGAGAGTATCGTTACTTTTACGCTATTTCTAGCGACGTGGACTTGGACAATCCCGGAACGGTATTTATTCTCCAATTTTACTAGTTGTATTTTAATTTATTTCAGTTCATGTTACAACATAAAAAATATTATTTTATAGATTATCAAGGTGGATATCTTGGAAAAAACAAGGAGAACTTGGTGCGAGAAAAACGTTTATCCAAGTGAACCGATTTTCGTGCCAGATCCTGATGGAAAGGTATAAAATTGATCTAAATTTCTGAAATTTTTAATTTCTATGATATTTAACACATTCGAGACCGATAATGCAATCGATACATTATAAAGATTTAAATTTACATAAATATCCGCAATCTGACAAAAGTCATGTTAAAGTATGCTTGTCGTATTTAATTGCTATTGATCTTATCATAAACGAAAAAAAATATCACCGATTATTGGGAACAATTTTTTCAGTCTCAAATGTGTTAGAGGAATGGGAAACGAAAGAAGATATGCTACAGTAAATGATCACGTGTCTGATTGATAATATGAAGATAAAAGAATTTTACTTTCCTATCCTATTTCTCTTCAGATCACGTGAATTACTGATAAAAAGAAGATACATTTCTTTAGAAGTATATTAAAAATTAACTCAATAAGAACCAAGCAATAATTCATAAATACTAATATACTAAAATAGTTAATTATAAATCATTTTATTAACTAAAACTGTTAAAATAAATGGCTGAAATTATTAACTAAAATAAAGTGTTGATTTAGTAAATAAATAAATTAAATAAATTGTTAAATGTACATTTAATAAGTTATTAAATAAATATTTAGTACTAAAATAAAATAAACTATTCATTTGCAATATTTCAGAACGAAGACGATGGTGTGGTTCTTAGTTCTATCGTGTGGTCTGACAAAGAAACACGCGTTGGATTGCTGATTCTAGACGGCGTGACTCTCATGGAAATCGCAAGAGCCATCTTCGACACTCCTGGCCCTGTGCCAAAATGCTTACACGGCTGGTTTACCTTGGACAAGTAAAATAAACTGGAACTTCTAAGAGACGATCTTCTGGCTGATCGATAGAAATTAAATCTCGACTTGGATATCATGTGATATATAATGTGGATTTTTATGCAATTTTATATTTTTATGAAGAGAATTCAAAAAAATTTGAGCTTATATAGAAAATTATTTCATACAGCCTCTGGTTATTGATTTAGAATCTTCAACATTTTACACGTTTTCAGTAAAATTGAAAGGTTTGAACGAAATCTAATTACAAATTTTATATTAACTATTAAAGTATTAGTAAATAATATTATTATAATGATATTTCATTATTTATTATTATTGAGTACATATTGCGAGAGATTTTATTGTATGTAATGAATAGTTGAACATTAAAAATGGTCCATTTGGATCTTTAAAACTATATTATTTATTTCGTATTATGAAAAGAAAAATTGAAATGAAAATGTGTAATAGGATAAGGTATATGCTTTAATGAAAGCAAAAGGAAGAAATAAAAATTATTGATACGTATGCGTGAATTTAAACTTACTATGTGTAATTTAAACTTATATACTGTGTATGCACGTGTGGACTTTAATAATTAATAAAATTTATTATTAAATTGCATTCAGACTTTTCAGTTTTACTGAAAACTTGCAGGGTGTTGGAAATTGTAATTGGTTCTAATTTAATGACCAAGGCTGTATATTAAATCTTATAGGGAATATTATATTTTGAATGTTTTATATTACGTGTGCATATTACATGCATTTTTGCACTTCTAAATTTCCTATAAATGCATAAAAATTCGCAGTCTAATTAAACTGCTAATATATTTTTATAGTATTATGTATTTTTTAGTTTTTTCCCCTTTTTTGGCTCGGTTGTCGCTTTGTTAGCAGCTTTAAAATTAAAAATGTTCCCTCCTCAGTTAAATTTTCGTTAATAAGAAAAATATCAACAGCACAATATGTATATAATATAATAAATTATTTAATGTCTTCTCCTGATTGTACAGTGTACTTATATTTGGCGATTAGTGTGTCACATAAAGCTTCAATGACGTGTACGTAGTAAATTTACAATAAAATGGGATGCATCGTGAGAATATTTGTCAGATGGAATGTAAAATGCCCTACGAACAATCTTCTTAAATTAATATCCACAGATATCCGATCCTTTCATAATTCTAGATATCTTCAATAACAATTAATTAAGATATCGTTTAAAATTCTAGTATCTTCGTTGTACGTCTAATCAACTGAAACAAATTCTGTCGAAGAAATTATCATTCTAAATTACCTGGATCTTCGTGAAGCTTTGGCTCAAACTAACAGAGCATTGAAAAGTGAAAAAATTTATCCTAACTCAATGAAAATAATATATTATATAACACATGTAGATATAATTTAGATATAATTTAATAATCTAGATTCTAGATTCTGGATACTATATATAATTTAATAATCTACGTATTTATCATACACTAGACTGCTTCAAAAGTCAATCAAACTTCACGAAGATCCTGTTGAGCACGTTCGTGCAAATAGACTTAATAAGTCGATGTATCTAGAGTTAACAGTGAACGATTAAAATAAATAGGGTTGGCACAACCATAGTCATAAGATTAGATATAGGAGCACTTAACGCGAGTCATGAGTTCCTCCTTAAATAATTAGACCTCGATAAATCATGATTATTACACAAAGGATTTCTGGAATCCTATGTTGAGTTTTTTAAAACATAATACAGTATCGATCACGTTTACGACTCGCGTTGCCGGCCACTAAACACAGACACATGATTCACAGCATATTTCTTAAAAGGCGAAACCACTCGTCGGGGAATCACTGAAGCACCACGTTTTAAAATACATAGCTCTCTGAGAAGCTTCGACATTTCAACAAACGAGGACTGAAATCCTAATTCCTCTGAGCACTGATATATCACTAAGTCAAATATTTCATCGACGCGTCACAATCGTTCATTCCTAAATATATACGTGGTAACTCTCACTCTTTTCCTTTCTTATTATTATGCTACACGATTATGGGATTACGGAGAAGAAATTACACGTGGAATTCAGCTAAAAGAAAAAAAATAAGGAAAAATAGACCCTGATATGAATCTTCGGTACCGAGAACTTCCTTCTACGCGCAGAGGAAAACCACAAGCAACATGCTAAATCGTTTATCAATTTTCAAGTTTGATATACCGTGGAGAACACAATTTACGATGGAAAATTGGTATTTTAAACTGTTATAATTTAAAAGTTATGACACGTTTCCTCTACGATAAAAACCTTCGATTTTAACTATATGTAGATATAATAAATTATTTAATGTCTTCTACCGATTATGCAATAAACTTATATTTGTTTGTTAATTAATCACTGTTAATTAGTCACTGTTAATTAATCACTATCAAGGTGAAGTTTTTACTTTACTTAAAGCTTTACTCTTTTAGTTTTACATCATATAAGGAAATAAGGATACTTGTATTCTCAAAAATTATAAAAATTTAGATAAACTTTGAAAACTTTTCTTTAAAAACTCGAACAAAAGTTCAAGAAATCCTAACATTTCGTGATTTAATTGTAATAGTTATTAAAATGGTAAAAGGAATCGTACAGCAAATTTTAAAGGAAATCTTTATAAAAGGGAGATTTTATTCTCCAAGATCTATAGTCGTGAATACAATTCTTTCAATGTTTTTTAGAAACATTTGAATGTTTACGATTTTCGAAAATAAAAGTATTT